TTTCTCTGCTGTCGTTTCTCTGCTGTCGTTTCTCTGCTGTCGTTTCTCTGCTGTCGTTTCTCTGCTGTCGTTTCTCTGCTGTCGTTTCTCTGCTGTCGTTTCTCTGCTGTCCTTTGTTCCCGGTTTTGCGATCCTGTGCATTTAAAGTGATGCTCAAGGCAAATACCGTTGAAATACTTATGTTTTAAACTGTGATAAGGTTTTATTGTATACAGGCAGTCCCCGGGTTACATACAAGTTAGGGACTTTAGGTTTGTACCTAAGTTGAATTTGTATGCAAGTCGGAACAGGTACATTTTTTGTGTAACTCCAGCCAAAAAAACATTTTTTTTAGTTTTGGATAGCATAGGGAAGGGTCACAGTTCTTTTGCTGACTGTTCCTGTTGTTCAGAAGATTATAATATAATTAAACAACATTTTTATTTAAAATGACACAGCAAAAAAAGCTTTTTTTAATTTTATTTTATAAACTTTATTTAAAAAAAATGTTTTTTCTTTTTTAATTTTTTTTCATTTTACAATATCCAATAGCAGGCTGGGTATGGCTCCCAGCCTGCAATAAAGAGTAGGCAGGGGGGTGGGGCAGAGGACCCGCGGCCGGACCAGGAGACCGGAGGAACGGCTGCAGAGGAAGTGTGCACATCAGCGGAGGTACGTGGGGCATCGGCGGTATGCAGCGGTCTGTGTCCCCGCTGCCTCCGCCAACACAGGCGCGGAGAGCAGCGGGGATTTGAAAGGACACAGGCCGCTGCAGCCACAGTTATCCCTGTTCGTAAGTACGGATTGTCCGTAAGTCGGACGTCCGTGACCCGGGGACTGCCTGTAATTGTTATGAGCCATCCCTATGATAAACACACCTTTACAGAATGATCACTCCTGCTACTTCCTGGTTTAGCTTTGCTGCTTGCTCAGTCAGTTCCCTGTGTTAAGGACAGCGGTGATAATTCGGATTTAGTGGAAGTGACAAAAGAAACTGCATTTGTGAACCAGAAAGTTGAATGTTGCCTGTCTGACTGTGCAGTGTGTGTAAATCAGAAGATTAGCTGCACAGGATTACAAATCTTTTGCAATGTAAATCAGTGCATGTATTTCAACGTTGTTAACCTGTACGAACATAATTGTGCTTGTGTCTTGCCATCTAATTCTTAATAATATATTTACATCAATCCAGCTTAAAACACATGTATGTATATTATAGGTTTGCCTTCACATTCATCACATTTACTTCTTCTTACTTCACATTACTGTAAATCAGGTACAGAATTTGTTAGTGCCAGACTGACAAATTTCCCTTTCTCTATAAAATATATGCGTCTCTGTTTTTAAGACAAAATTTATCATTTTAAAAGAATTTACTTGTTAAATGAGCCGTGTGACTTACAAAACTGCAAGCACCTCTTAAATCCTCATCCTTCTAATTTGTACTGTCATCCTTTTTTATTTTTTTACATCGTTCTGTTTATTACCTCTGTGGAATATTTCAGAGATTCCACTTTGCCATGAGTCCTACTGTCAAGCTTCACTGGCAATCTCCTAGTCTTATAAATCCGAACATGTCAGTTAGGTATAGCAGCGACGTGTATGGCAGCTGCTTATTGACTAAATTCTCCAACTGTTTCACTGTTCTGCAAACATGGCATTCTATCTGTTTCTAAATACCTTTCCCTGGATATGCATAGTAGTGTGAGCAGTTTATACATCTGTATCATTTAGGCTGCTCATTAACATGCTTTCATTTTTGCACATTGCTGATACTAGTCAGGTCATTTGTGGGCTCTTCCCTGTTTTGCAAAAGAGAATGACTTTGCATAGTTCCTTTAATGAATGTAAGAGTGGGTCCCAGTACAGGAGTGACTTGTTTGAGGATGGACAGATAGTCTCCCCACTTGTACTTTCTTAGGGAGCTATGTGAAAGTCTATGGGTAGGTTTATGCTGACCACAGACTTTAGAGATAAGTCTGCTGTGCCAACCGCTAACCACTTTTAGGCTAAAGAGCTTTAATGTGTACCCTATAAGATTGTTCTGTAGGCCAGTTATACAGTCAGTCTGGAGGGAGAGGATGGAGCAAGAAGGAGGCTGCCAACAGTGGCAGCTTATCCGGAGGGACACGAGGTTGACACCTTATTGGATGACAGACAACTGATGTCTATAGGTGTTTGTAGAGTTTATGGAAATCCTGATAACATTTGGAATTGGGAAGAGGGGAACTGAATTGTTAAACTTGGGTATACACAGTTAGAATTTATTACGACCGTTCATATGAAAAATCTCGTCAGAACATTCAGTAATGGCAGCTTAAGCTACAGTGAAACATAGGACAGTTTAGCTTTAACAGTCATCAAGGACACCTAGTATGGTGACAGACATGACATGAAGGTTTAAAAAAATGCCTGAACAATTCAAATACTTTCTTTTTCTTCAGCAAATCTGTTTTAAACATGTGCAATGCCACTTGTAACCACAGGAGGGAGCCATTTGTCACAATATATGCAAGCTAATACAAAAGGGACTTTTGTGTCCATTTGCACACTTTTACTTAAAGTGACACTAAATTCACGTGTTACATTTCAAAAATGCATTCAAGTACCTTAACGATTACCAATTGTAATGAAACTTATTTGTGCATAACTCAGATGTAGATGCTCAAATCATCTCTGAATTTGTGCTGCGCTCTCCTTCCTTCTGGAAGGTTTTGGTCCAGAATGTGTTGTAAGGTAGCCAGCATCCCAAGCTTGCTCCCATGATGGTTGATTCGTTTACAGATTTGTATCAAAATTGTAGTCTATCTCAAGAGCGCTGGCTACTTTACAACACACACAGGGACCATGGAGAACAAAAGTAAGCTCCTTGAGGGTAGGGACTGGTGTGAATGTGCAAGTATGTAAAGCGCTGCGTAAATTGTCGGCGCTATATAAATACCTGTAATAAATAAATGAATAAATAGCCACCCTCCAGAAGGAAGGACAGTGTTGGCATGAATTCAGAGATGATTTGAGGATCTGCAGCCAAGTAATACACAAGTCAGTTATATTTTTGTTAATAGCTAGGGTACCAAAATGCATTTTTAAGATTTAACTCCTGGGTTTAGTGTCACTTGTTTATCTCCATTTTTTTTTTTACTGTGAGTACAGCATGTTTGCTGAGGAGTGAAGCTGCCTAGAGTGTAATGGCTAGATGGGGTCTTGGCTGCAAAAGGGGAACATGTTGTAAAGTGACTTTTACTACTGGAAGCCGAAAACTTAACAAGATGCTGTTTTATGTTTGCATGCATCAAAACACAAAAAGTAAGCACTGGACAGCTGTTTTTCATTTTTTGCATATTTGTTACTGGATTGTGCAATTTGGTTATAGATCTATCTTAAATGCATCTCTGTGACACAAAGTCACGCGCTGCACCTGTTCTTTATGGTTCTTTATTGCCCCTTTAAGAGATTATCGCTTTGAATGTCTATTGACATTTGACATCTGTATTTTTTTCAGAAACTTAAAGAAAAAGAAGCTCTCCTCTGGACAGCTGATCAAAATGTTTTGAGTCGAGACAAAGTTATAAATGAACTGAGACTGCGAATACCTGCAGTTATAGACCGAGAGAAGCTGCTATCGGAGTATAACCAAAAAGAAGAGGATTCAGAGATGCGTCAGGCTTTAAAGGTTGCTCATCAAACAATTGAGAATATGCAAGCTCGACTTAATCAAAAAGAAGAGGTTGTTAAGAAATATCAACATCTTTTAGCAAAAGCACGGGAGGTATGTAAACCTGAAGAGCTCGGAGATAATTTCACACTTCACACAAGGTACACAGAGTGGGTTCTAATTTTAGAGTTCTCCATGATTCGTTTGTGCTGCCAATTTCAAACAAGTACTTGGGCATACTGAAGCACACAAAACCGTGTATTCACTCTATATTCAAAGGTTTATTGTTCAAACAAAAGATTACATGGACAGCGGAAAGGGGCAAAGGTGGGGCATAGGCCAATAAAAAGACATACACGTAAACAAAACTAATTCTAATAATATGAACCATGGAACAGCTACAGAGCAAACAATCAAGGACACCGCTTTCATGAACTGACATTTTGGAGGCAGTTCAAACTAGTTTCTGTAGAATATACATAGAAAACACAATTTTTTTTCTGCTCGAACATTAACCCTTTCGCTGCCAAGCCCTCGAACATTTTTCAAATCAGCTGGCCAAGCCATTTTTGAATTTTCTGCAATTTTTTCCTATTGATTTGATTTTCAACTTCTGCGTTGCTAGCGTTTGTAAAAGACCCCCCAAACCATATATTTTCTGAAAGCGCAGGCCCGGTAGAATAAAAAGATGGTGATACTAAATTTGTAGGCCCTGCGATAATTGCGCAAATGTTTCTCAAATTAATATTAAACCAATAAAAATACACAATTCAATTGTTAAAACACACCAAAATCAGTATCCGTGCACAAAACAAAATTATTTTCTGACTAAATCTAAAAGATAAAACTGTATTGAGTTAATAAATAACAAATATTAGCAAATTTGTAATTGCGCCTTTTTGCGAAAAGGTAAAAAAATGAAGGTATGCAAAACTGTAAATCGATGCCATCCTGAAACTTGTGGCTTCTCCCCGCCAGCCAACGCTTGCTCCTCCGCCCCAACCCTGGAGATTTTTTTTTTATCCCCGTTGCCACAGCCCCTACAAGCGGGGAACAGCAGCGGGGATCCATGGAGTCACAGATCCTCTCAAAATACCTGAACAATTTGATTGGATACAGGCATTGTGTGCTCTCCTCCAGAAGCTGCTGCTCAGTCCACCACCATATTGTGTTGTGGTGCCTGCAATTACATGTGTATGTTTTTAAATCAATGCCTTTGTAGCAAATTCTATCTTTAGCTAGAGCTATACACAGGGCCTTAACTTGTTCATTTATCATGGATTGATATAATCTTTCAATTTTAGTGTAGGCACAAGGGGTAAATAGATTATTTCTTTATCATCCATTGAGGAACACAGGAGACATGGTAATCGTATACAACTAGTGTGTGTTGATGCCTTCAGTAGGTGAACACTGGCAGATCACTCAAGATACATGTATGCTGCTTGATACAGCAGCTATCCATATTGATTAGTCCTCAACAAAGCCTTGGAGGCCTTACCTGGATTTCACTGGACTGAAAATTGCAGGCCTTGGCTGTAATGTGACCCTTGGGACTGGTCTGTGCTTGTGGCGCTTCATAGTCACCAAGTGTGCTGATTTGTTTGCTGCAGAGTTCTTTACAGGTCCAGAGTTGTGTCAGAGCTTCTGGTGTGTACCAGTCTCTGAAAACTCAAGTAAAACCATGTAGTATTAAACTCTCCAAACTTTTTTTTTTCAGTAATGAATCCAGATCAAACAAATATTGATTGTCCAGAAAAAAAATATATATCTTTAATGTTTTTGCCCGAGCACTTAGTCACCAAGTTTTAAAAAAAGCTGGCTCCAGCTCTCTCAGCTAGGTTTCCCTGAACTTCCTGTCAAAAACAAAATCACAGGGGAGAGCACAGTCTCCAGCAGCTGTCCATCTACTAGGGAAGGGAGGAGGATGGAGCAGAGAGGAGGGAAGTGTATTTCCTTGCTGAGCTTGTGTGTTTGTGGAGACATACACACAAGGTTGGCTCCAGAGGACCCTTCAAGGGAAAGGTGTCGCCCTAAAACAGGATATCAGGGCCACTGCTCAGGGGACCAGTAGGTTCTGCAGGAAGCTAAAACATTTAAACATCAAGAAGCAGCATGCATTGTAAGTGATTTCAACAGCATTTGAAATAGCTTAACAATCTTTTAACTTTAATATCACCAAGTACAAAAATCTTGTTATCCTCTTTCACCGTAATCTTAATGTGTTCTCAGAGTACATCAACTACATTTCCCAGGTATATCAGAACCAGGGGACTTGTTCTCTTTTTTGACAGTGATGGAAATTGGAAAGCTACAGTATACTGACATTTTAGCTTTGTTCTCCGCTGTCTATCGCCTACAAATGTCTGCATTTTCTGCGACTTGCATGATGTAGTAGTACAAATATCTCACAGGTACGGTGGTACCTCCTAGTTTTTAGTACCTGGTTAAATGGGATTTTGTGAGTATTGGCCTAGAGCACAAATTCATTCTAGGTAATTGGTTGACTTTCATTTTGTTTAAAATGTGATGCTGAAGTACACCTGGGATTTCAGCGTTTATATGTTCTCTCTCTAGAGCACCCTTTGTGAGCTCATTTTATATTAAAATAAAGCAAAGTGCCAAAGAACTCTGGAAGAGATCCAGAAGTGAAGGATACCAAGTTGGCCCACTATACTGTGAAAATCACAGCTGCTCTCCGTACACTTTTTGCTAATATAATTTTGCATTTTCAACAGCTGTTTACTCATACATTATACAATAAAAATATATTTAGAAACTGGGTGTAACTAACATTTGCACATCAGTGTAATAGTGTAGTGGAAATAAGCCTCTTCAGTATATAACATTTGATGTCTTCTCCATATCATATTAAACTCTTTGAAGCATTGCTCCCAGAAGGCAAATTACTGAGAACAGTGGAGCGCATCCAAGGGAAGACAAAGTTCCATAGACTTTTGGGATACTCGGTTAAAGCTGACTAAATTAATATAGATGGAGCTTTGCTGCCCACGTTGCAATTTAATATAGTGTACTGTGTCTGTGTGCTTATATGCCTGGATAGTCTGATGTTTTCCACCACTGTATTTATAAGTGCCATTTAGAGGCAACAATGAGATGAAGTCTACAGCTGCACATGACTGGAACTAAACTGTAAAATTACAAACACTAACCAATTATTTAGACCTCTGTAGGAGCAGTTTCATCTCAGCTGTATCTTTACAGTGAATAAAGTCTGAAGTGGTAATTTGATGTTCGTTTGATGTGCTCACAACTACCCGCTGTCTTATGAGAAGGCAATGTGTCGAGATCCGGTGTAAAGACAAAAAAAAATCCTTGGCTGTTAATTATGAGTAACCATGGAGACGGAACAAGTAAACAACTTGAGTGTAAATTGCGGTGCATCTCTTAGATAGTTTTCTTGTTTTTTAAAAAAAAAGATAATCACTGATGATCGCCTGCTTATGGCATTAACCCACGTGCAGAAGAATCTGTACGTAGAGACTTGATACTTAACTTTTTATCACACATAATGGTTTGCTGCTTATGGAGACTATCTGTTTTGTTGACAGAGTTGGCATTAAATTAGAATGAATACAAATGTTATTGATAATTGTATTTCAACAGGAACAGCAAGAGAGTGCAAAAAAGCATGCAGAGGATCTTAAAGTGCTACATCAGAAGCTGGATGTGCATTCAGATGCATCGCTTAGCAAATTTAAGGAGGCTGCTCTGGTTTGTATTTCCAATGTTTTTCTTTTAATTATGTTTAAATAAATCACAATATGCTTTACCTTCCATTCACCTAGGAACGTGGCAACTATTGCCATGCTAAATCTAGCCACTTGTGTTGCAGTGCCTCTATTTGCACTGTAGCTGCCACCTGACAAAAGAGGAGCTAGCAGTAGTTTCCTGTACCACAGAATGATGGCGGTGCAGTGCCTCGGCCCAATAGCTAGTGGTAAGCTGCCTATTAGTCCAGTTGATGTAGCTTGCAGATCTGTTTGTCCTGCCAACTGCTGAGAAATTAGCCAGCAGCAGCCTTCACGTAACATAAATTGAGGATTGCATGCCATGTCAAGCAACATGCTTCCATAAGCCTCACCCAGGAAATGGCACGGGTATGCCTCTCTAGCGCTCCATCTAAACCTGTATGCATGCCTCAAAAAAAAAAGTATGCATAGCAAGTTGTCCACGTTTATCAGTAGTAGGTGGGTTTATAAATTACAAGATTTATATTCAGTAATGACTGTGAATGCAAAGCTACCTAGCCAGTAATGGCAATGTCAGAATGGAGGATGGCATATGCAATCTAACCATAAAATATTAAAGTTTGTTTGTTTGGAGCTATTGCTATTTTGCATTCATTTTGTTGTACAATGCATTAAAGGAAAAAAAATAAAGTTGGGTACTTTTAGATATGTCACCACACTCAGTCTGTGGAATGGCTGCTTCCATTAGAATCTTTCCATGTTGGTATCAAACTGCAACCATGCTACCAGAGGAAATGAACTCTGGAGGTTTTGCCCCAAAACAGGCAGACAGAGGGCAAAGGACTAGTCACTAGTACTGCCTATGGTCTTCCCCATTACTGACTACCCATGCCTTGTTCTGCACTGTGTATCTGTGTGGAGTTGGCTATCTTGGTAGAGGCAGGGCTTTGCTTTCTCATGTGAAAGACTGCAGTAAGGAGAACAGTGAGCAATCACAGCACTGATCTTTCCAGATCGCTCTCCAAATCTCTTGAGGGAAACTAGCAGTCAGAGGCAGCAGCACCTCACATCTCATACTGCAGCTATGAAGCTCTAGGCACAGGATTTCCTAGGGGCCCTCATATAACAGGAAGTGCACTTTTGTTTTTCAGGAGAAATTCTAGACAAAGGGCACATTTTCAGGGTATTGCTTAGGCACAGTTAACACTTATAGCTGTTCCCAATAACATGGCAAATCCCAACTTTTTGAGTTCAGTTCCACTTTAAATACTTGTCAATAAACAATTTAAAAAAATGTACTCCTATAAGCTAACCTTCTTGCTACCAATCTGAACAGTGATGTGCTAACCATTTGGCTAACCATTGACATGGTAGTCACTATATGCCACGCTTCTTCCATAAGCAATAAGCATGCAGTGATGCAAGATTACAGTTTTACTCCGATATATACAGCTGTATGATTCAAACCCTCAGCAAATATCTACTGCTCTGTTGCAAAAAAAATACTGGTGTAATTAAACATGAGAGGGATATTGTCATTAACAATTCTTAGAGGACAACTTAAAAACAGAATAATTTATTTTTATTCCAAGTAATTATAATGGTCACTGTCTTTTGAGGGTAAAAATTGTGTACAAAAACAGTTGTCCAATATGGTGGCTTTGGCTTAAAATAGTAATAATTAATTAGTAATAATAGTTAAGTTATTAAATAGGCAAGCATGTGAAGCAACAGGTTGGAGGTTTTCAGACATTAGCAAGTCATAAGTAGGGTATTTTTTTTTTTTTTTTGCTATTTCTATATTGGTGTACTTTTACAGTACTTAAGTCTCATCTATCAAGAATGCAAATTGACTTCATATAACCCTGGCATGCTAATGTTATAGGAATTGATGAAGAAACCCACCCTGGCAGTCCCATCCACCGTGCACTTGCTGCGTTTAGCAGACATGGAGCAGACGGTGGCTGAACAAGACAACTCACTGTCTGCCCTCTCCAGCAAACTGAAAAGTGTTACCTCTGAGCTGGAGCACCAGAAACAGATCCATGTGGCCAAAATGAGTGAACTGGAAAACCATAAAACCAGGTACAATTAGATATAGGATGAGTCAAACACCAATATTATCGGAAAGCCAGAAACGGAGACAAAAGAAAATGTAACATCTTTCACATGCAGTTTTCTTCCCTTATCACTGCCCTTTGCCCAGATTTTAGAAAAGAAACATTTTTAGACAAATCCCAAGCATTCTGAATAACACAGCGCACATAAAAAAAAAATGTGTCTGTGTACTTTATATTCAGTTTAATAACGTCTATTGCTATTTTATTCTTATTTATTGCATGTGTTTGTCGTATCTATTGAGATACTATGAGTGTGCCTAATATAAAGATGCCGGAAATAAAGTGGATTGTTATAAAATAGCCTTTCATGAGTATTTTGTTGCACCCTCTTGATGGTGATATCTTCATTGAACACTTTTCTCTCCCGTTCATTGAAGGACACAGGCAACATTCCTCTGGGTACTGCGCTGTCCCTGGGGGTCTTTTCCTCTGCCATTGCTGGCTTGTGACACGCATTGAGCGCGTTTTGACGCTGTCAGGGAGATTGCTTCAATGGGGATACTCCCGGCTCTTCCGCACTGCCGCCAGTGCAGTGTGGTACGCATCAGAGTAGGCTTTTCGCCTACGTGTTTACTTACATCTCCTTTTTTTGATGACTTTATTTATAAGGAGTGGAAGGGGCTTACCAAGTCCTTTTGCGGTCCCTCAGCGTTTCTCGGTCGCTATCCCCTTGGGGAGGCCTGTGTGTCTCTGTGGTCTTTTCCCCCGGTCTCTCGTTTGCACATGGCCACAGTTATCGCGGTGGAGGATTCTCCGTCCTTTAAGGACCCCTCCGATAGGAAAGCTGAAGCGCTTTCGCTGTCTCTGTACTCCTTCTCGGGGGCGCTTGTGCGTCTGGTTTTGGCTTTTGCCTTGGTGTCTCAGACTCCCGACGGAGTGGGCTCAGATGTTGCACCAGGGTCTTGCGGCGGGGAATGTCTCTCCCGCTTTTGTGGACCTGGCGGATCGATTGGTGCAGGGCCTTCGTTTTTGGCTGCACTTCGGCTTTGGATGTGGCACCCTTGGTGCCCAAGCTGTCGGTGTCGCTGGTTACTTTGGCTTAGGTGCTGGTCGGCTGCTCGGGCTTTCGAGCAAACTCTGCGGTATTGCCTTTTACTGGGGACCGTCTGTTTTGGATCCCCCGTGGATGGGATCATTACGATCTACAGGTGGTAAGAGTACCTCTCTTCCCCAGGCGCGCAAGAAGGAGCAGCGGGGTTTTTCAGCGTCCGATAAGGGCGGGAAGGGTCACAAGCCCTCCCCTTCACAATGCTCCGAGCGCCCATGGCAGCCCAAGTCCGCATGGAGGTCGCGCCCTGGCTCTGGTTCCCAGGTTGGGGGGCGCCTTCGGCTCTTTGCGGTTTTTCGGTTGGCCCACGTCTCCCACACTTGGGTGCGGGTGCTGGTTTCTTCAGGCTACAAGATAACATTTCTGTCCCGTCCAGGGACCGGCTCTTCCCGTCCAACACGCCACTCTCCTTCGCGGTTGGCGGATCTCGTCGAACTGTGGCGGACCCTTTGGTCCCAGGGGGTGATCATGCCGGTTCCGTCCTTGGAAAGGTTCGAAGGGTTTTATTCGAACCTGTTTACCGTGCCCAAGATGGAGGGGGTTCGGCCCTTCCTGGACCTCAAACACTTGAACACCTTTATGCGGGTCCGTCGGTTCCGGTTGGCGTCGATAAGATCCGTGGTGGTCTGACTTCGTCGGGTAGGCCTGCTGGCATCCGTCAACATCAAGGATGCCTACCTTCAGGTACCCTTTTACGCGTCTCATCAGAGATATCTCCGTTTCGCGGTGGGGAAGGCGCATATTCAATTGGTGGCGCTGCCTTTCGGGCTGGCGCCTGCTCCGCGGGTGTTCACCGAGGTGCTTGCCCTGATTCTGGCGCTGTTGCGTTGTCGGGGGGTTTCGATTGTGGGCTACCTGGACGCTCTGCTTCTGCGGGCGGAGTCGCACGCCTCTCTGGTGGTGGCTCTGGAGGTCCCGGTACAGTCCTTGGAGGAGCTCGGTTGGCTCCTGAACCTCCGGAAGTCTTGCCTGGTGCCTTTTCCACGCCTGGAGTATCTTGGACTGGTTCTGGACACAGTCGCGACCCGGGTTTTTTCTCCCTCGGGACAAGCTCCTGCACCTTCGTTCCAGAGTACGGCTGCTGTGGTCTCGCCGGTGGTCGCCCATTCGTTTTTTGCATGCGGGTCCTGGGTCTCATCGTGGCCTCCTTCGAGGCGGTGTCCTTTGCTCAGCACCGCACCGGGACCCTACAGAAGAACATCCTGGCAGGGTGGGTCAAGTCCCCCCTATCCTTAGACAGGGACATTCAGGTGTATTGGGAGGCGGGAGCCTCCTTGCGGTGGTTGCTTCATTCTCCGGCCTTGGCGCGGGGAAGTCCTTCCTTCCTGTGCACTGCACGGTAGTCACCACGGATGCCAGCCTTTGGGGCTGGGGTGGAGTTCTGGGCGCCTTGGCCGTGCAGCGTCGTTGGTCGCTGGAGGAGCTCCGTCTGTCACCAACTGTGTTGGAACTTCGGGCGATTCGCTCTTTATCTCCTTCATTAGTCGGCCCGGCTTCAGGATCTGTCAGTTCGGGTCCGGCCAGACGACGCCATCGGGCTGGCATACCTTAACCCCCAGGTCGGGAGGTGTTCAGGGTTCTCTCCTGGGGATTACATCCCGGGGGTGGGCAATTGGCTGGTCAACTACCTCCGTCGACGGTCGGTGGACCCGGGAGAGTGGTCACTGCACCCGGGAGTTTTCAGCAGCTCTGTCTCTGTTGGGGCTTCCTGGGCTTTCCGCCATAGGGCCTCTGTTTTCTCAGGTTTGTAAGGCCGCTACTTGGTCTTCTGTTCACACCTTTTTGTTACGAGGTACGAGGTGGATGTCTTGGCATCGGCGGATGCTGGTTTGGGGTGCAAAGTGTTGCAGGCGACTCTTTGAGGTGTCTTTTGTGTGTTTGGTTGTTGTTGCCCATCCCTCAGTGTGTACTGCTTGGTGACGTCCCTACCATTCAGGATCTACGATCTGTTGCCTGTGTCCTTCAATGAACGGGAGAGTAAATAGGATTTTTGTACTCACCGTAAAATCCTTTTCTCTCCGTTCATTGAAGGACACAGGCCCCGCCCTCTTTCTGGGGTGTACACTCCTAACTGCTTGTTACTAAACTGGAGACTTGTCAGCAGGTGGGGGGTTTGGCCACCGGCAGGGGCGCCCCTAGGCTGTAATTGGTCTTTAGCTTTGTGCCTAGCGTCCTTCTCCTGCAGGTGGCGATATTACCCTACCATTCAGGATCTACGATCTGGTGTCCTTCAATGAACGGAGAGAAAAGGATTTTACGGTGAGTACAAAAATCCTATTTTTTATAGATCCCTGGGTAACCCTATAGCATTGTGGTTTATTGCTTTCTTGGTGGTATAATATTCTGTACAGCTTATTTCTGAGAAACCATTTTTCCATTGTCTAATTAAACTGCTAGGCACTGCAGACTTGATCATGGGAACAAGTCCAATGAGAACATATTTTACAAAGCAGTGTACATTGGGAAATGTCTGCCTTCCAAGAACTCTAACCACTTGCTTTTATTATATCAGGATCAGAGGAAATATAGAGTTTGGGATTTTTAAACAAGGGAGGGACAAAAGTGAAAAAATGTTTTATAGACAGGTAAAATCTTGTTCCTGGAGTGAAAAAAAAATCAATTTGGCTCCCAGGAATTTCAGTTGACTCCTATAGATCCCTTCTTACACATAAGACTTTATTTTAAAGGGGTGTTCCACCTTAACTAAAAAACACTCCCTTCTTGAGACAATAGCAGCACATATTTGTTTTAATGGGAGGCCATAGTTCTACTTTAATAGGCAAAGTGATGCGGTCTCTTTAAAATGGAATGCCCATTTGTGAATGTGATACAGATGCAAAGCATACAGCAATCAATCACAGATCAGCTTTCATTGTTCATACCATGCTAGCTTATATAGATGTACCGTCTGATTTGCATTCTATTCTTTCAAACTAGGCTTGAAGAGAATTATATTTTAGAGATCAAAAAACATAAGAGTGAAGCTGAGGCACTTAGAGCACGGATGTCTGAGATGGAAAAGGAAATTAATTACCTGAATACTGAACTTGAAGCCCAAAAGGAGGCAAACACCAGAGCTCCCACTGCAACAATGAAGAATCTTGTGGAACGCCTGAAGAACCAAGTAACCCACAAGGAAAAACAGCAGAAGGTACTTTCTCTTGTTTTATTATAATACGTTTTCATTCCTGCAAAACAAACTCTTGATGCTGAAGAGCGAAACAGCAGTTGGAATAAAATCCAGTCTATTCGTGGTTGAGCTAGCACAGCATGCACCTCTGTGCACTTTTTTACTCAGGGATTCCTATTACAGTTTTCATGATTATGTCCCATGGCTATTGTCATGAGTACATAACACCATGACTACTATCTTTCACTGTATACAATCCAAGTAATGTTACTTTTTGGGACGGGGCATCTGATAATAATATGCTTTCCTAAAATATGTAATCTATTTTTTTCATGACTGCTTTTGTTCTTAATTGCTGAAGCTGTTCATATTAGACTTCGTGTGGTATATACAAGGGTTACAATGGAAGTATTGCCAAAATGTTTTCGATCTCTAGCCATGCTTACCCCAAAGTGTACATTATTGCTAATCCCGATCTGGATATGGTTGCACAGTGACATCAGTGCCCCTACACATCTCCCGCTGCCCACAGCAACAGATTGATGCGTATAAGCTACAGATGACTAAATCAAGTTACTAAATAGAGCATCTATATTGACCTCCTTATAAACATCAGTATATAGAACGAAAAACGCTAAGAAGTCATGCCCTTAATATCCCACATTAGAGATGATTCTCTCATCTGAGACATTCACACATTCAGGTGAAGCTGCTCCCATAGAAAACAACAGGACCCCCAAACATCTAAGGCCCCATTCACACTGAGCGGATTGCCACGCGATATTGCGCACTTTTGCTGCACGATATCGCAAGAAGTCGCCGGCCAATGATTTTCAATGGAGCTGTCTTAATGTACAGCTCTGTCGCGGTCGCAAGTCGCGCCTGCAGGACTCTTTTTTTTTGGCGGATGTTGCGCGATTTTTCTATTTTTTAATGCAGCCCGACGGTGAAGGTTGTGCTACCGTCGCTGGAACGTCGCCCCATCCCGCCACGCAGATCCGCTTCTAAAGGTATGTCGCTTAGTGTGAATGGGGCCCTAAACTGTAAAAATCAAGATAGGAAGGGGTTCCGGCCACCTAAATTAGGACCCGGAGACTGCCAGATGACCCCGCTCGGAGCGCCGCACACCGAGCAGCAGTGACGCGACGCTCGGCGAGGTAAGTAAGATGACGCGCTGGCGCTGACTCGAGTATAAGCCGAGGGGGGCACTTTTCACCCAAAAAAATGGGCTGAAAATCTCGGCTTATACTCGAGTATATACGGTAGCTGATTTGGAAAAAAGAACAGAGTAAAAATAACCAATGCTTTTTGGAGGTCCACAACTCTGTCTTCATCAGGGCTTGTAAATTGCTTCGTTAATCGAATCCCTTCAAGAAAATTTGGCGTCACATATGCTAAAACGCTACTCCTGTGTCGCTGACTATTGTTACCATGTTAATCTCTTCCCAGAGGGATTCCATATATCAAAGCCATATACAAGCCCCTCATAAAGGGAGAAGTTGTGGTCCCCTGAAACACAGTGAAGGTTTTTCCTCTGTTGACCTTTTATTAACAGAAAACCCTCTTGGACTTGTTATGAGCGGCATGTTTTGAAAAAGGAAGTAGGGCAGTAGATTCATGTTTCAAGTAAATATAAACCTTTCAGTTTTTTTCTGAAGTTAGAATTGTTATAAATCCTTTATTTCTACAATCTCGTGCTCAGATCTACGTTTTATTGATTTTTTGAGCTGTGCACTATTGCAGAATCTCAATGTCTGCTTGCTGAAGCTGGTGTACATTTGCATGCTAGGAATGGCAGGTCATGCAGCTGTGGAGGGGCAGAAAGAGGCAAGCTTTGCAGCGGGAGTACCCATTTTACAGTGACAACGCTGCTCCTGCATAGACTCACACGTGAGCGTTTTTACCCTAGGCGCAAAGCTCCAAGGAAAGCAGGATCACCATGTAAAAAAATATAATAAAGCAGGTTGGCAGAAGGAAGGGTACATACCTAAGAAAGACACTGCAGCAATGTATTTTTAATATGGGGCTTATATACACTATATGTACCCTGTGGGGGGAATTTATCAAAATTGGAGCAGTTTCCCTGGGCAACCAATTAGCATCTCTCTACAATTTACTCAGGTAAGATTTGAAAATGAGAGAGATGCTGATTGGCTGCAGTGCAAATCTGCTCCAGTTTTGATAACCCCCCCCCCCGTATGTTTAAATATGTCTTTGTTTTTCTCTTCCATTCATTAGGTATGTGTGTTGCAAACATTTTACATTTGTTTACCTTGCTTGTTAAATGATCTCCTTGTTAAGCTTTAAAAGGTTTATTCAGCATATTGGACAATTGTGCTACTTGTAGTATTATATTTTCTTTCCAGGCTTTAAGTAAAGCTCTTCTGGCTCTTCGGGCAGAAATGACTACTCATGCTGAACAGCAGATTATTTCCACTGCAGCACAAAAGGAGGACAATTTAAACATTCAGCAGATTGTTGACAGACAGACCAAAGATTTAAAGGTGAGAATGGTGACATTTTATTTTACATATTTCCAGCTACACCATGCACGAATGGTCTGGGCTATAGCTTGGAATGCTACGTCTAGAATTATTGCTAATGTGCAAATATGAATTGCATGTTACTGCTGTATTTCTGGACAGCTGAGAAACTGTGTGAGAAACTTGATTTTGTAATCTGTTTTGAGGTTCAAGAACATAAATAATATGGCTGCGGTCTGTGAAGTCTGTAGTTAGACTTGCAAAGTGTGCCCTTTTTCTTGAATAGCCTATTCAGAATGGTGTGGTTTATTGAAAGTATATGTACAACTAAGACTTATTGTTTTTAGTTTTAGATGTGGAAGGGTTAATACCTCTGTTGGGCGTTTATGGCTATCTGTGTTCCGGTTGTGGTTATTCACCCCCTCTATTGGTCCTAGTGACCAATTTTGTGTTGTCAAGGAATGGTAGGAGATGGAAAATGTTCCATAGAGTAGTCGTGTTTTAATAACTGCTGTCTATAATATGCTGCCCTTTAAACACTAGTTTGTTATGCTTGGCCCTATAGTTTGCTGAGCCTTGTTGTTTTACAGAGACAGGACTTATGTATTTATTATGCAATGCATACATACGTTCTCTGTCTGTAAAATTACAAGTCTCAGAACACTGTAGGCTCAATTCTCAAACGAAGGATAGCAATACCTATTTTTTTTCAGTTAAGATTTAAAGCTGAACTCCAGAGAAAACAAACATTTACCCATGCACTGGGTCCATCTCCCCACTACAAGGGTTAAGTGCTTATTTTGTCTACAGGCTGATGAACCTTATCTTACATTACCTTATTCCTGGTTCACTTGGCAGCCGGCATTCTACTCTGCTGCCTGACAGTCCAGAATGTGCACAGGCCGTCAGCGTCCACCTATAGAAGACAGGACTGCTGGGCCCTGCATTGTATCAGATGATGTTGGAGAGCTGCGGCCAGTCAGGCAGCAAATGGAAGAGGCTTCGGGGAACCAGTCACACATGAGCGAGAACTAAGGTAAGTACAGGTGAAACTCGAATAATTAGAATATCGTGCAAAGTTCATTTATTTCACTAATGCAACTTAAAAGGTGAAACTAATATATGAGATAGACTCATTACATGCAAAGCAAGATAGTTCAAACCATGATTTGTCATCATTGTGATGATTATGGCTTACAGCTCATGAAAACCCCAAGACCCCCAAATCCACAATCTCAGAAAATGAGAATATTACATGCAATCAATAAAACAAGGATTGTACATAGAACAATATCGGACCTCTGAAAAGTACAAGCATGCATATGTACTCAGTACTTGGTTTGGGCCCCTTTTGCAGCAATTACTGCCATTACTTTTGCACGATATTCTAATTATTCGAGTTTCAACTGTATATCATCTTATTCATCATCCCCCAGGCAAAATGAGCAGTTAAACCTTGTAGTGGGGAGAGGGACTTACTGCAAGGTTAATCTTTTTTTCCCCTGGAGTTCAGATTTAAAAATAAGTCACATGGCTTAAAACAATAAAGTAAAATTAAGGAAAACAGAAGCTGTTGACACATACTTCGTAAATGCCATTTTCAGTTTTGCTTATAGTTATACTGGGATTTGTAGTTCCAAAAAGACAGGAGAAATGCAGGTTTGGTGTGCTAGGACTGGAGCTGCTTTGTGATTACCGCAGGGCTGTATTGAACCTATGAGCAGCCATATCCTGACATACATTCATGTGTTCAAGTGAGATCTTGGTTTAATTGCATTGCACCACAAGGAATTCGCTTTACACGAGCCTCGTTTGGACAATGGTGAGACCCAAGAGCCACTGTTTTAACATTGCTATTACTCCAAACATTTTGATGCAATAGGACCAGTAGAGCACTACTGTATTTAAATGGTAGCACACCAATAGCCAAGGCAGCCAGCAGGCAACATTACAGGTGAAGTTACTAACCAGAGCTCAGGTTTATTACAATTTAGTATCCAAGCACAGGGTATGTCTACAAGCTGATGCTTCAGGGTGGGCACCTTCAGATCAGCCTTTAGACGCTTTTATCTTTGGGTTCTCTCCCTGTGAGAACCCAGATCTGTTCACTTTCTGTGGTGATTACTAATAGTTACATAGTATTTGAGGTTGAATAAAGACATAAGTCCATCAAGTCCAACCTATTGCGTGTATGCATAATAGATCCCTCTCTTGTGGGAATATTTTCTTTTACACTACAGAGAATTCGGTGAGTGATATTTACAGTCTAATAGCACAGCTTGAATTTCTTCTTGTTGTGCATTCATGATGCACAGCCAGTTTCCTATTGGCATTTTTGGAAATTATGCAAAAATCCCACTTGGTATTTATATATTATTTTGCCACTTGACATGGTATTGATCTTTAAATCAATAAGGTAGAGTAAGGTGAGCTAACATGGAAAGCATTTCAGTAACCTGTGTAGTCTGGCTTGTTTTATTGATATTCGTTGTGTGGGTACAAGAGTTAAATAATTCATTCGAAGCAAATTCTCTCATTAAGCATCTCCTTGCAAATTATGTCCCCTGGTGCTTGGGTTGGTTGCAAATGAAAATTGTTACATTATCCTTTCTTAACTTAAAAGCTGATTACAGAGTTTTAATCCGAAACCTAATTCCTTTGTGGTATTTTAAGTAGGCAAATGTAATTGTGAAGAGACATGATATTATCGTTACAGGCACGGATTGAAGATTTAAATGAGCAACAACTAAAGCTTAAAGAGGCCCTGAAAACTAGCAAGGCTAGAGAGAATAACCTCACCGAAGACCTTGAAAACCTAAACCAAGAGTTACGAGCAAAGCAGAAAGCCCTTAATAAGCTGCAGAAGGAAAAAGATGAAGTAGATAAGGAGAATGAGGAACTGAAAAAAAGGATGAAACGTTTGATGAGCAGCGTACAGGTAATGTCATACTGTTCCTTTACCTGCTGGTTCAGCAGTGACACTGTAACAATAATTGGTGATAATAAATAAAGCATGTTCAGATCTATTAAAAGAAAACTGGACTGTGACAAGGCTCTCAAGAGCAATGCCAGTACATTTTTAGTGGCTGCCAAAAAAAAAAACACCTTTTCTTTGGCAGTAGTTCTCTTTAGTGTAACATTTATTAATGTCCTCCTGTGCCACAAAACTCAGCATATAGCAGGCTATTGCCAGCTATATGCTGACAGCGCAGAGCCGTGCTTCAGGCAGGAAAGATCCCAACAATATTGTCAGGTCCACCCCGCTGACTGATTGGCAGCTGACTCTGCCTCTCTAGGGGTAGAGCCAGCTGTGCCCACCCCCTCTGTCCCTTCAGTCAGTGAAAAAAGGAGTGCTGGTGGAATGGAGAGGGGAGGGGGGAATCCCTGACAGTCACTGCTCTCTGCGGGGAGAAGATTTTGAACCAAGCTATCAGTGGTATGTGATCACTCATTTCTCGATCGATAGAGCTGATGTGTGACAGCTGCAGTGTCACATGTTGGCTCTAACTATGGGGATGAGTGTATTTCACTTATTCCATAGTTTTCCTTTAAGTTGTATTCAGTTCCAGTTACTTCTGGTCTTCCATCCACTTTCACATGCCTGTTAAGTTTGTTGAAGAAAGAAAGGTTCTGCAGCTATGTATCAGTGCGGGTTGCACGGTTTGGGGTCACAGCCTGGAACACCTCCTGCCACAGCCTCTCCTTTTCCACCCGATCTCTGTATTGCCGGTAGGAGGTATCTGTCAGGCCTGGTCTGACATGGACCAAATTAATAACAGGTCTATTCACAAAAAGGTGATGGGTTTGGAGAAGACAGTAGCATTCAATTCAGCTCACTTTCCAGTTCAGCTATGTTGTCCTAGATTGTTCACTTCTCCTGCCTTCTCCAAACTCTTCACCCTTTAGTGAATAGCCCTGTAAGTGTCTCATGAGAGACATCCCTGGCCATGATCGCTGCAAAAAATAGATGCAAAGAACAACCTGTGCATGCTTCTCCCTGTGCCCCAAGTGAAGGTGGGCAAAAGTACCCCAAAAAAATAAAGTTTATAATAAAAACTTAAGTTAACTGAATGAATGATGACCTTTGTTTAGATGAGTTAAAATCTGTTCAGTTCCATCTCGGCCTACAAAAACGGAAAAGGATGCAAACTTTTCTTTTTTCTTTCTTGGATCTAGATGGAGTTGGATGTAGGCGGATGTAAACAGGGGCATGTCCATTTTACATCTGCTCCCCATAGACATACATTGGGCATCAGTCTGAAATACTGACAGACAGATCCAGACTGATTGCATGTGTGAAAGGGGCCTTAGAATCATGTTTAAAGGAGAACTATGGGGTTGAGGCTTTTCCCCCATCATTCTCCTTAGGGTAACGGCAGGACACAAACTAGCGTCCTCCCGTCACCCTAAGCTCAGTATACTGAGACGCCGCAGCTGAAGCGGATCCCGACAATTATTTCTGGATCCGCCCAGCTGCGTGATTGTACAGCTATCTAGAGACAGAGCCAGCTGTACCTTCCCCTGTCCGTTCCGCCAATCAGCGCTGGAGGGGCGGGGAGGGGGGAATCCAGCCCCTCCCCTGTCACGGCAGAGAGCCGTGACAGGATCGAGAGGGGAGCGAACGCCGTTATGTGTTCGCTCACTTCCCGGTCTACTGAGCCGACCTGTGACAGTCTCATTGTCACAGGTCGGCTAGAACTATGAGGTGAGTGAAAAGCACTCACCTCATAGTTCTCCTTTAAATCAACATTGTAAAAATAAAATACCCAATGAAAATGATTTTGTTGTATTACAGCCCTCTGCTGTAGTTGTAGGGACAGACTGTAGCTTTCCAAGTGCGTATTAAATCAGCAAGGAAATGGTTACATTATGGTTCAAAAGCATCTCAAAAATATCTTCAAAACTCCATCTAAATGTGCATTTCATGGTTCTCGCTTGTGACTTGCTTTAATGGGTTCAGATTAACAGAGCTGGTGAAGCTGAAAGGACTGTCCACCCAAAATCCATTTCTAACATGGAGCGTGAAGGAGACACCTGTGTTAAAAGCTAAATGAAAAGGTTATATATGTATACTTACTTGCCATTTTTTTTCTCAGTAGCAGCTTTCTTGGCTTCCTGCCTATGTGGTCAGCCTTGCTTACAGATGATGTAGCAAACCATCAAAACAAAGATAATCTTGAGCCTGTTTTACTATTCTCTTCAGCAGAGGTAGCAGTCTATAACCCGACAATAACCCATGCAAAGCAATCAGAGTTCATTTATTATGGCACCAACTGATAATAGCTGCAATCGCTCTGGCTGTTATGAGTAACAGTAGATCACTGCTCTTATTAACAGGCTCTGTGGAGTGCAAATTGTTTACTGCTAAAGTAGCTATGAAGCTATGCTCATTTAAAGGTTATGTTTACATGTTAATCTAAAATTCTCATTCTTGATGATAGAATCCCATTAAACCCATCCTTCAGCTCTCTCTACTTTATGTAAATGTTACTCTTTTAACAGGATTATAGCTAACATTTTAAATGTCTGTATCTTTTCAGAACAAGTCCGATCTGGACAGTAAACAGAGCATGATCGGTGAGCTTCAGAAGAAAATTAAAAAGCTTGAACTGGAGGTAGAGAAGAAAAGTGAAGAAGCTGAAAGAAAACCTGCACGAGAAGATAAGGTGTGCTTAGAGTGTCTGTGACTAATATTTAGTGACTGCATCATTAGCAATTTATTCCTGCTTCATCTAGTAAAAAAGCTATATGTAATACTTGTCACAGGATGACATGTGTTTTTAAAGGGGAAGTGTATTTGTTCTGTGGTGAGCAGTGTTTGTCTGTTAGCCTCTGCAGTAAAAATGTTTGCAATCAGGCCTTCTCTCTTACATGTTACTTGTTACTGTAACTGAAAATTCCACTTTTACTTTAGTTAAAAACAATAACCATTTCTTCTAATGGGGACTATGGACCCAGCTCCCGAACGGTCCCTTATTTGGACGGACTTTCTCTCTTGGAAACAAATCCTTCTGTTCTTCTTTCCTTTCTTATTTTGGTTTATAGACCTCCTATAAAACAAAAAATGCACTGTTTATCTACTAAAAGTGTTCTAGCACATTAAACCAGGGATGCACCGATACCATTTTTTCAAGTGCCAATGCCAATTACTGATATTTTTTTCTTAAAGGGACGTGATATTTTTTCTAAAACAATGCAGACTAAGGATTTTTGGGAAGTTTCTTTATAATTATGAAAAACTGTAACGCAATCCATGATTATACTTGTCCTGATACAATTTTTTTTTTAACTCAAACCATATTTAACTGTGCTGAGAAGAGCTTCGTATTGGTCAGTGCGGTCACCATTTGCGAGTGAAATTCAAAATCTATAAAGCAGGGCTGCACTGGACGGCAGTACAAGGTACAGACACTACACCCGCACCAGTGGAGGGGAAGGACCATTTGCCAAAAGGTAAGTATAGCGGGGGGGAATGGCCAGATTTAAGAGGTTAATTTAATTTTCCCCAAATTACTTGTGAAAGTGAACTTACCCTTTAATGTGCATTGTGCGTTAGAGAACGCCGCTGCCAAGCTACCACAATGGGGCACCCAGTGGAATGAGGACAGCACTCAGCGCACACACACACGCAATGCCCTAGGCATGCGTTTATTTGCACGCAGATGGCGGGGGGGGTTGGTTTTTATTATAATCTGTTTTTGCGTCTCAGTATACCACGAGCTGTAGCTCGCGGTATACTGAGCTTAGGGTAACGGGAGGACGCTAGTTTGTGTCCTCCCGTTACCCTAAGGAGACCTATGGGGAAAAACACTGACCCCATAGTTTTCCTTTAATGTATGATTTTGTATTTTTTATCAATTTTTTTTCACTTAACTTTATTGATAACACACAGGGAAAAACAAGCCCCTATGTGATATAATTTGGAGGGCACAGGCTCTCTTTATGAGCCTGCCCTGTAGTACAGAAAATCCAACACAGCATTGTGCTCTATCTTCTGTTCAGCTCAGGTTGTGACAGCTGACACAGGAAGTGCTGTGAATACAGCGCTCCTATGTCACTGATCACAGAGCAGACAGAGAACGAAAGTTCTCTGCTCTGCTCCCCCTCTCTATCCTGAAGGCATTTGTCGTGGTCCCGAATCCCCCAGAAGAGCAGGGGACCCCGAAAACCGCAGCACATAGGGAGGAGGAGCACCATGGAGGGGAGGCACCAGCAGGGAGGACGCACAAGAGGGCTGCTCTACAAGTGATCCGGGCGGATCACTTGTACTAAACGAGCAGCCTGAGGCCATTTAAAAATGTAAAGCGCCGGGATCGGCGTTGTGGATTGGGGCATTTTCGTGTGTACAAGTACTCATGAATATGTCCTGTATCGGTATGTAATGATCCAAGTATCTTTTGGCGTGGCCGGGTTGTGTCTCCTGCCTATATACTTTGTGCTTAAAGATGTCACTCTTTCTAATCTCAGAAATTTTGGAGTTATGTACAGAAGTTAGACAGTCTAATCAGGCTAATCAATTAGGCTATGCAAAGAGCAGTGGTGTTGTACAAAGTGCAGTAACCATTACAAACCAATCAGGTTTGCTGCAGATCATTTGAGAGTTTACTTTTGATTGGTTGCCATATTGTATAAGGCCATCCATTTTACCTGATTTAGCTAAACTAGTTTCCTTAACACCAACAAGAGACTACAGTGAACAGAAAATATATGAAACTTTCTAACGCCTGGTCACAGTAACAGCTTTACACATAATGCTTGCAGTCAACAGTAATCTTGGTGACCTTCTTAGTTTAATTTCAAACAACACAATCACCTTCATAAAAACGTATTAAAACTTAGTGTTTTAGGGTATCTGTGCTGCAATATGCTGTATTTTAAGATAAGCAGGTTTTATAAAGACCTTGCTACCCCATAGTTTGTGCCCCTCCTTGGACTGACACCTACCCACATTTTGGCAGCCCGGAATTTTAAACTGATGAACATAAATTGCATATTGTAATAGGCATTTACATTTTATCCGTAGGTGATAGAAGGTTACGCAGCAGAGAAATGCACCCCAGCAATCCACAGAAAATTCTCAGTGAGCACCAATGGGGACTAGGGGAATACACAGAAAGAAAGGAGTTGTAATCATGTGTAATGTGCTACTCTAGAATGGTGAAAATGTGAAAATAAGAAAAAGATAATGAGATAAATGATTACCAAAAGAACATTATTAGTACTTATTAAGTACTGTTGTAAAAGGAAACAGTACCCAGATAAGGGTATCTAAACTCTAAACGCCTTTCAGATTGGCTACCTAATCCGATCCCTTAAAATGGCTTGCATAACACAACAGTGTCTGTGATCCTCCTTGGGGTACCTTACAAGTAACACGCCCGTTGCAAAGCTCAGGCATTGAAGTGGAGACAACTGAAGGTGCACTAGAGCTGCATTAAAATGATCACTTTTTTTTATTTATTTTGTTCAGGAGTCCTCAGCTCTGTCAAAATAGGTTACCGGCTATGACGTCTCTAATCATTTTGATTGGTAGATGACGGGGACATTTCATTGCACAGCTAATCTTTGACATCTGAGATTGACAGTAGACATTGCAGGTATCACTCCCTTCTAGCATCTTTTGCAGATTTTACTGGTGTTCTGTAACTCAATCTACAGAATATATAGACTGTATCTATTACAGATATAATTGTTCAGCAACTGTAACTATAATTACTTTTTCAATTTGCAGAGCTCTAAAGAAGAGATAATTAGATGGGAAGAAGGCAAGAAGTGGCAAACTAAATTAGAAGCCATGCGCAGCAAACTACGCGATAAAGAAAAGGAATCCGAGTCTCTGACAAAACAGCTGACAACCCTGAAAGAGCTATATTCCAAGTGAGTTTTCTAGGCAAGACACAACACCCATTTTGCTTTAGGTCCTATTTTAGCTGTGTCCACAGTGCTTTACTTTGAAGTGTTCTGCATGACCTCAATGTGTAGAACCAATAATTACTGAGTAGTATATTACCCCCCAAGGGGAAGAAAAACAGCTTGTGACTATTTCATATCCTTTATATATTCATATGCACTACATAAATAGAAAAGCAATACTATGGAAGATGCAGAAGGTATATAAAAGATGACCGTATACAGGAAGTTCAAAGAGGAATTAAAGTTAAAATTGAAATGCGCTGTTTATCATTCTGCCTGGTACTTGTAAATATTGAAAGTACTGGACTCCTCTGTGTTCCTATCAAGAACAGTCCCCACCATTTCTAACTAGGAGTTGAAAATGTATTTTTCGCATGCAACATTATCTGTAATGCAAATCTGGTAAAACGGATCCACCAAAAAATAAATTGGTTCTCTATAACGATCACTTTATAAAATAGCAAACTGCTAGAAAGAAAAATGCAAAGACTATTCTGCCAAAAAAAACCTTCTTTTTCTTGCTTTCACCAGTTTATTATTTAGTGTACACTGCCTGCAGCCCATACACAGGGCAATGTACAACCAAACTCATTACAGATGCTGGGAATGTGATAGGGTGTCAGGGACCATGTAACTCCTGTGCGCATGCGCAGAAGTTACATAATTCAGTAAGTGGTTGCCCAATGACATTTATGGAAGACAACGGACTAGAAAGAAGACGAGCAGAAGATGTCAGTGGCAGTACTGAAGAGAGGAAGGGGCATCATGGACATCTCATCGCTGGAGGAGGGCACTCTAGGTAATAAGTGTTTGTTCCATAATGTGCCAATACAACCCACCTACCACAAATTCCACTCTACAAAATCTTTAGAAATTTGTATAAAGGATTATCAGTTTAAAACAAAGATTGCTTCCTACTAGCATTAAATTATATACTGTGTATGTGTGTGTGTGTATGTGTATGTTTGCATGGCAAAGAGAAGATTCATAGACTATAGGTATCCAGTTGGACTGTTTACAATCTGCAGATCAAATCCTCTTGCCACTGGCCACACCTGTACAATGGATCAATATAGACCAGGGGTCTCAAAGTACCAGCCCGCGGGCCAATTACGGCCCGCAAACCAGTACCATGCGGCCCGCGGCCGTCTGTCAAGTCAAGCACACAGTCAGGACCCTGTGCCTGACTTGAGAGAGCAGCTATACGGTCTACATCTCTGTCGGATGTAGACAGCATAGCTGCTCCTGAGTGTCGGCACACTGTGTCCGAATGGAGAAGAGAAAGCTGTTCTTCACTGACAGCACTGAGCTGTCCAGGGGCAGGGGCCGAGGGGGGAATATCTGCAAGTCACTCACTGCACAGCGGTGTGAGAGCTGAAGGCTTACTACAATTACATGCACACAGGTAAAGCTGCTCAATTACATAACAATATACTGTTAGGATCTCCCCAGTGCTTGTCTCACTGTACTGCAGGTGTGTGTATTATTGTTTGTACTTGTGTGTTGGGAGTTTTATGGGGTTTTTTTTTTGTGTGTATTATTGTGTGTGTGTATTTCCCAGGCTCCATTCACATACAGCGTTTGCATTTCCCACGCGGTTTTCTGTACTGCACGGGATGTAAACGCTGTATGTGAAAGAACTGCAGGGATTACGCTCGTTTGCAGCTAATATATAGCTGTGAATGTGCGGAATCCGCTGGATTATCACGCATGCACTATTTTGGGGTCCATATTGCGTGGTCCCTGCAATAGTCAGAACAATGCACATTAAATTGCATTGATTTCTCTGTTTAGAGCGGTTCCACACGTATTCGTACAGCCGAATAAGCGCGGACAGCCGCTCCACTGTGAATGGAGCCTCAGTGTGTTATTGTGTATGTATTTCTGTATGTGTGCGAAGGGGTGTGTTTCTCTGTGTGTATGTCCGTGGGTAAGTGTGGGGGGGTTATTTCTTTTTGTGCATCTCTTTTTATGTGGGTATGTCTGTGCGTCTGTGTATTTCTGTGTGTAAGTCCTGTGTGTAAGTGTGCATCTTTTGGTCCTCTATGAATAAAATTAATACCTGTGGGGGGAAAAAAAAGCACACACATACTCAGGGGCGTCCCGAGGTCGGGTGTCACCTGGTCTCCGGGCCGGGTGACACCCCGCCGTGTCATCGCATGTGACGTCACCTCACGCATGCGCGATTGTCATTGCTATAAACACACACAGACATTAACACTGGTACTGAATATAGTTAAATTTTATTTTCAAGTATGAAATTTGGAAAGCGGCCCCCATGGGAGAAAAAAATTTGTCTAGTGGCCCCCAAGCGAAATTAGTTTGAGACCCCTGATAAAGACTTTAGTGGGGCCATCTTCCATAGAAATCAAAGGTTCTGCTTGCTGAGAGAAAAACAGAGGTTGTCATTGCTCACCTCCTTCTGAACATTCAAGTTGCCTGGCTGTTATGCAGACCCACTGGCTTTGCTTTCTGAATCACTGACCTAAAACAAGTATAAGGATCAGAAGTTAGTGTGGTGTTCATGGCTGCATTCTTGTTCTGGGTTGATAACATAGAGCATTAAATTTAGCAGTGACATCCTTAATGTTTCTCTTCAGAAAGGTTTCCTTTAGGAATTGAGGACCGAGTGTAATTGCAAGATTTTACTGATTTTCATGGACCATTGATCTTGTGCAGCTGGTGATAAATGACTATGTAGTGACCACAGGGCATATCTTTTTGTAAAGCTGATATTCATGTTCTGATTTTACAGCTAATTTGTATCTGGCATGCTAGTATAAACACTCTTCTGTTTGACTAGCTTGCATTTACTTGTGTTGTTATATTCTTTCTGCTTGATATATTACTGTATCCTTTGGTGATGCAATTGCATTTTAAATTCTAGAGCTGACCAGGAAAAGTTAATACTGCAAAAGAAACTGAAATCTCGTGGGGTTACTGTGGATCAAGTAGTTGGGGCCCGAACAGTAGAATCTGAAAGAGAGATTGAAGAACTACAAAAAAAGAATAATGATTTAGAAAATGAGATCGCTTACATGAAGTATGTATCATTGGATTACACAAGTGTAATTAACATACTACTTACCTCCTGTTATCAAGAGCTACAGTATTGTATTTACTTTTGAGTAAGATACCAGCTTTTGTTTTCCCAGTGTATGTAATACTTCTATTTTGTAAACTTTTAAACAATCAGTTTGACACTTTAAGTGACCCTGTCGCTATAGTTCAAGTTATGGCCAAAAAATAACAGAGTAAATACTTCGCTTTCTTGCTGCCCTCACCACAGATTGCTGCTCTGATCCTGAGCAATCTTATACTGAAGTTTAATGAAACTGGCACGACTTCAGAATTAGATTTATAAAGATCGGAGCCGCGTTCAGCAGTGCAGCCACAAGGAAAGGTGTCTACTTGCACTGTTCTTTTATTGGTATGGCTTCATTTAAAATGCTTACTATAGTAACATGATAGCTTTAAGCTTTATTTATGTATTTTCTGTGTTTATGCAGCGCCAATGTCCTTTCAGATTTTCTGCTCACAAAAATGTGAACTTTCAGGTTTTGTTTTTCAAAATCGTATTTCTTTCTCGCCCATTGAGTTGCACAGGAAGTCTTTAACTGTTAGGTTATACTGACACCTACAGGAGGATTAGACACTGGCAAACAAACTGTAGGCCAGCCCAAAATAACCCCCTACTGCCAGCATGCCTCAATCTTCTACTGGTGTCCTAGGAGGATGGACAGCTTTTCTTCGGTTCTTCTGTATTAAGGAGTAACCTATTTTGTTACTAGCAATTGTTTACTTTGATTTTTTATTTTCTTCACTCAATACTCTTCTCTACGGCTGTATAGAAGCTTTGTCTGTTTGACTGCAGCTATCCAGCACAGTTGTCATCAGAGTATCTGAGGTCTTGCCTAGAGTATCCATTTGGTGATAATTTTTTACAAAAGTGGTTTGCTCCCACTGTGGATCTGGCAATGCCCCGTCTTAAGAAGACATTTACTATAACGGTATAGGATGCATCTGTTTTAAGGACCAAATTGATAGGCACTTGGAAGCCCTTTCTAGAGCCCTGTTATCTCTGGCAGGTCTTTCCCTTTACCCAATCCTGGCTGTGACTTTTACTTTATCAACCCATGTCTCATTGTTCAAAATCCCTTAAAAGAAATTTAACCACTCCTACAGTTGATGATGGGTTGCAAATTTAACACGTGGAGCAGATGGCTGTAGCGTTAAAGGAGAATTATGAGGCGAGTGATTTTCACTCTGCCTCAAAATCTGAGCCGACCTGTGACAATGAAACTGTCACAGGTCGGCTCAGTAGATCGGGAAGTGAGCGAATACATACCGTCGCTTGCTCACTTCTCGATCTATCCCTGCAGGGATTCCCCCGCTCCGATCCTCCAGCGCTGACTGGCGGGACGGGGGAAGGGGCGGGTACAGCTTGCTCTGCCTCTAGATATGTTGGCTCATATGCATTGGAAAAAGTGCTGCGGAACTTTTGTCTAAGAAGAATTTTATCTACATTTGAGGGAAAATGTCTCTTCTGACCAACTCTTGTCAATATTATCAAAGATGCTACAACTGGCAAGAGCACATATCTTCAGTGGAAGAAGCCTAAAAAGCAGACTGCAAAGTCTTCTCTCTAATTGTTAAGAAGTGTTTTTTGTGTCTTAACTCCCCGACCCCCAAGCTTGTCTCCCAGTCCACCCACAAGGTCTGGTATCCAAAGTCCACTTTTGCATTAGAGTCTTGGGTCAGATGGTAGCCTCTTTTAAGACAGTTTAATTTGCCCAGTTTCACTCCAGACAAAAAAAACATACTATCATTGAGGGACAAGATGATCGGGTCTCTGGACAAACCGATTGTCCTGTCACCGAGGACTAGGTTGTCCTTACTTTGGTGTCTCAGATGTCTCAGAAATCTGACACTAGAGTTAGAAAGTCCTTCCTTCCCATCTTTTGGAAGGTCCTTATGATGGATGCCAGCCTGTCGAGCAAAGGATGAGTCCTGGGCACACTGTCGGTGCAAGAGGCATTTTCAGAAGTGAGTCACATCTCCCATTCTTCATCCTAAAGCTTCAGGTGATTTGGCTGGCTCTGCAGTATTGAACCATCCTACTTGGATGGTCATCTAATCTGGATTCAGTTGGAAACACCATGGTGGTGGTGGTGGTATATCAATCATCAGGGAGGAACTAGAAGTCTTGCTCCAGCAATAGAGGTTGGTAATCTCTGCCTGGAATGTACATGGTACAACCTGACTGATTTCCTCATCCGGCAGCGCGTGGATCCGGGCGAGTAGTACCTACTGTCAAAGACATCCCAGGTCCTGTGTTGCAGGTGGAAGACAATGAATGTGAACCTCCTGGCCATACTGAACTGAATAGGTTTGTATCCGTGTACAGGTATCCTCTAGCAGAAGACAGTGGATGCTCTGGTGGCTGAGGGATCAGTACCCCTGATCTTTGTTTTTCCTTTCTTGAAACTTCTTCCTCGTCTGCTTCGCAGGATCGAGATGAAAGGCATTCCAATGATCTTCATGGCTATGGACTGGTCCAGGCAGATGTGATATGTCAACCTGATAATACTTGTGCCAGATCCTCCTTGAGCTCTTAGGAATCTTCTGTACCAAGGACTGATATTCCATCTTTCTTCACAGTTGCTGGCTTAAACAGGGAATTTCTGAGTCAGAGTCAGGATTCCTATGATGCCAAAGCTAGTAAGTCTACTTCTCACAAGGTCTATCATCAGACATAGAAGGCATTATTCACTTGGTGTGAGTCTCAGGGCTTCCACCCCAGGAGTTTCTCCATAGGGCAAATATTTTCCTATCTGCAGCTGGGTCTGGACCAGCATTTGGCTCTCTGCACTTTCAAGGGTCAGGTTTCTGTCCTCTCGGTTCCATTTCAGAGCCCTCCCACTTGATGCCCTGTGACTTCATGGGTTCTAAATCTGGTTCTCCCCGTGCTTCAGAAATCACAATTTCTTATTAGAGATATTTCTCTCTACTCTCACCCTCAAGGTACATTAGTGTCTCTTGTAGTTTTCACCTCTGTGAGGCAAGATGAGCAGGCAGCCTTATTCTGTGAGGAACCCTCTCTGGTTTCCAGGCTGTGCAAGTTTACTGTATCTCTCAGCCTTCCTTTTAGGAAAACCGATTGCCTTTTTTCATCCCAGATAGACCCTGAAAGGGTTCACATGCTTTTCGTTTCCAATCCCTATGTGTTCTAGGCAGACAATAATCTGAGCCTATGGTCTCCAAGGTCAGGTTCCAAGCTTATCCAAGATTTGTAAGGCTGCCATCTGGTCTTATGTTCACACGTTCTTAAAGTTCTACCAGGTGGATGTTTTGGCCTCCTCTAATGTTAGCTGAAGGTGTGAGGTCCTTTAAGGTGCCTTTTGGAGCTGCAGATTCTCCTATTTATTTTTTGTTTTTATAGGCCTGTTAGCAATTTTTTGCAGTGTTGTCCATCCCTCAGTTGGACTGCTTATGGATGTCCCAAAGGTGAAAAAACTTCCTGTGTCCCTCAATAAAGATAGAGCAAGAAAGAAAGGGGGATTTTTGTACTCTATCTAAAATCCCTTTTTTGGAGCTTATTCATTTACACATGTTCCACCCCTCTGTATTTTGGATCATGTTCTCTGGACTGTTTTGCTACAAAACTGAGGCATGCTGATAGTATGTAGCCCACATTGCCCTTGTTATATAATTGCCTTCCTGCTTTCTCAGATTAAACCTTTCGCTGCCAAGCCCTCCGGAACATTTTTCAAATCAGCTGGCCAAGCCATTTTTTAATTTTCTGCAATTTTTTCCTATTGATTTGATTTTCAACTGCTGCGTTGCTAGCGTTTGTAAAAGACCCCCCAAACCATATATTTTCTGAAAGCGCAGGCCCGGTAGAATAAAAAGATGGTGATACTAAATTTGTAGGCCCTGCGATAATTGCGCAAATGTTTCTCAAATTAATATTAAACCGATAAAAATACACAATTCAATTGTTAAAACACACCAAAATCAGTATCCGTGCACAAAATAAATTATTTTCTGACTAAATCTAAAAGATAAAACTGTATTGAGTTAATAAATAACAAATATTAGCAAATTTGTAATTGCGCCTTTTTGCGAAAAGGTAAAAAAATGAAGGTAAAAAAATGTGTAGCTCCGTACGACGTACGTCCTTGGCAGCGAAAGGGTTAAAACAATGTGTCTGAAGAAAGTCACCTATGTACAGTATACTTAGATCAGTGGCATTTTATAAAAATACACATGCAGTCAAACTGTCCCTTACTCTCAGCTTAAAGGAATCCTGGTCATATTCTTGAAATGGTCTTTGAAGAACATAGTAGCCAGCAATTTTGTGAGGTGTGTAAACTTTTTCAGGGATGTAGTACAGTTGCAGTCTGTGTCAGCAAACATTCCAGCATTGTGATCTGAAACACAGTGATAGGTTTTTAAAGTTCACAGGTGGCCTGTCCAGCAAATTAACATATGCACACTCTCTGTCTGGTATCAATAATTGCATTATTTCCAAGAGTGCTAGACTGTGTTTTAGGAAGCATTTAAACATTTCACAACATAAGGAGCTCCTGAGAATTAAAAGGTTGGAGACTATCTGGACTGGTTTGGAGAAATATATTATTTCTGTCTGGGGTGATTTGGTGAGACTCAGGTTTGGGTTCAAATGGGTTATAGAGATTATGGAATCAAATATAAGTTATGAAGAGATCACCCTGACACATTTTTGGTGGTGAGATCGAGAGTAGATGAAAGTAGATTGGTTTAAGAAGTTGGTGTTGGTCCAAGTAAGAATTACCTGTCTAATTTGCTACAATTACTAATCTTGTGGAATGTGCTGATTGTAGCCTATGGTATTTTCCTTTAAAAAAAATCACTGTTTGGTAAAGCTAATAGCCCATCAGTAACTCTGTTGAACGACATCCTGGTTTCTTCTATTGTAATAACTGTAGATGTATTTGAAAATACAAGATAATTTAATTAAATCTACCATAGCTAGCAGTATGTCACACAGTTCATTCTGATATTGTATAACCCTCCCATCAATCTGCCCCATAAAGTCATTGCACACGTTAGACACATTGTGAAAAATCAACCTTACTTGTTATAATGGGCTTAAGAATAACAGCTTTAATGCATCAGTGGAATTAATTTGCCAGGTTAATGTCTGAAGAATAGAGGGTACCAACAATTCTTGAACTAATTAGAGGCATTACAGTTGGATGCACAATGTAATAATTTGGTTGGGAAGATCTAACCTTTGCAAGCAGGCTGGGAAAATGTATTATTATTAACCTTGTATCAAAGTAACATATACAAGGAGGAAATAAAGTGCTGCTCTTCAGCACTTGCTTTGTAAAGCAGGCTTAGACCTTTAAAGGATTTGTTAAACTGAGAAAGTTTAAAAGAACATACAAAGTTTAGCGCATCTCTATTTTTTGTTCGCATTCGTTTTAACTGAAGGCGGCTAAGAAAGAATAAGATTTTTAAGCATAAAATTTCTTGAAACATTTTTTTTTATGTGGTCATAGAACAAAGCAGGCGTTGCCTCGTGATTCTGTAGTAGATGAACTGCACTTAAAAAATCGATATCTGCAAGAAAAGCTTCAAGCAGTGGAAAATCAGCTCTCAAGGGAAAATGTATCCAGGCCCTCTGTAAGTATTGGTTTCCTCATTATCTGAGACAAATGATATGATATATCGGCTACTTTTTTCTTATGTCTATTCAAATGTATTGTTTCGGTTCCTTGGGTTACTTTAAGGCCTCATTCACACACAACGCAAGAGCAAAATTGTATATTGCGTATATACGAGCGTATATGCGTGCACTATTTGCAATCCCACAATGCATCATTCGTAATAGAAATGTTAATGAACTGTACGTTTGTATATATGTGCGTAAATATGCAGAAATACACTGCCCAGACGCATTTCGGTTCCATTCTGTTTTTGCACATTTTTACGCTACGCAAATATATGGCTCCATATGCAGCTATGTATATGGAGCCATTTTATTTGCATATGCTGCATATGGTACTATACGTGCCTATATGCGTGGCAGTGTGAATGAGGCCTAAGGAATATACTGAGTTTTAGGTGTTTTTTTTTTTATTAAAGCCATATATGTAAATCCATCCACAAGGTAGTCAAAATCATAATACAATGATCATGGGAGTTAGTGTATTCAGTCTGAACTAATCAGCCAATTGTGACCTCTCTTGGGAATTACTTCATCTTAAAAATCTCATGATGGAGCCAGTACACATTTCTCTACCCTCTAAATAATTTGGGGACAATCAAACTTTACATATTAGGGGTCATTTCTGGACTTTTTTTTTACCATTGTGTGTTGTAAAGACGTTTGGATTGGTAACTTAATATTCAGTTTTGTTTTTTTGTTTTTTTTTTAGTGTTTTTAAACAATTATACTCATGCCAGATTTTTTTTTCTTCATGCTTTCATCTGCTTATTTTCTTCACAAGCTCATTAACACATAGGTGTAGCAAACTACAAAAACAGCTGTTACAATAGACAGTAGAAAAGCTTTCTGGTATTTATAGCTACATAACTTGGACACTGTGCTGCATTGTGTACTGTACAATATACCTTAAGCACTTAATAATTTCATTTGATTTAGTCATCAAACACTAGACTATACCTGTAATTTGTACAGGAATATTTTCTACCATGTGAATGCAGCTTTTATGTATAACTTTACTAAATATTTCTCAGTGTGAAGCCCCCACAAAGGAATTAAACAAGCTGTCATCTTACTGTACCATTTTACCTGATGCCTGTTTTCTTTATATACAATGCTGCATGTGCCATACCAGCATAACACAGTGGACCCCGGACATTTTTCTCTTTTATTTGAAGTTGATGATCACAAACTACAAAATCCAGAATTGCCTAATAAAAAGAGAAACCGTTTAAAGAGAGCAAAAGGAATTAAAACAGTATTTCTGGAAACAAATGATGGTGATATGGATGAACTTATGAAGATCATACCAGACCAAGGAGATGTCGCTAATGTGGTTATAGGAGGTAGTGAAAAGGCTTCTAATATAGATGAAGAGCTTTGTACCACTGTCACAGGCAATGCAACAAATTCTAAAACTTCAAATGTGACTCCTTTGGCAAGCACAACCCCAGTTGTAGAAAGTAGTGACACCTCACCATGGTCATGTGATGCTTCAGAGCTTATCAGTGCAGCACCCTCTCCAAAACTGTGTGACATCTCACTTCCTGTTAGTACAACAGCCACTCCTGGGCTGGGCGACATTTCATGTGTTGAAAGCACACAAGCTACTGATGAGCCAGAGTCTAGTGATGAAAATAAACAAAATAACTGTGGCACAACATCTTCCAATGTCAGCAGGACTACTACAATTCATGAAGTAGAGGAAAGCCATGACTATGGTGGGCATGAAAAAAATGGAGAAATTAGAGAAGACGAGATGACATTAAATGTAATTGGTAACAAGTCTGATGTTGAACGTGGCTTTACTTCAGAAGTTGGTGAAGCTGAATCTCCCTGTTGCTGCAAGGATAATGCATTAAGCAAGACAACTGCTGTAGAGACTGGAGAGGAGTTTGATCAGAACTATGAAAATCTGGAACTGGGCTCAGAACCTAACAATGTACTGCAGGTGTGAGATTTTCCATCGCCCATACTACCCTACAATATCCTAGATTTTATCTAATAGGTAACTTAGTTTATCCTTTTAGAAATGTATAGCAGTTTAGTTGACATAATGCAGTTCACTCCATCCATTTATTCCCATGTTTAAACTATTATGTAAATATTCTGTATAAAAAAGCAATACATGTTGGCTTTCCTGTACTGGTCCCTTACTTACTTTTTTATACCTGTAAGACATCGGGTGTAGGATCAGAAAATCAGTCTTCAAGAGAGCTGGACCTTCAGAAAGAGAACCTGAGATTATCAGCCGAGAATGTAGAGCTGCATTTCCAGCTGGAGCAAGCAAATAAAGACTCGCCACGTTTAAAGGTATAACAGAGGGTTTATAGTCTTTGACATAAGGCCATGCATCTGCGTTCTGTTATTTATGTTCATATATGTTTTTATAGTGTGTGTTTGTACAGTGTATGCATGTACTGGTTTAGCAATCAAAGACCAAGTATAGTGAAAGGTCAGAACTTTTTTTGATACATATGAACTATTCTTTAAGCTCTGTAGGAGAGGCAGGATTACAGTGTTATCAGAGGTAATATTACTATAATGAGTCTAGCCTAGCAGAGATGGCCAATTACACTATACTTACTGCACAGCCTGGCAACGCTAAGAAGTCCAATACACATTCAGGAAGCTCCACTGGTGTAACTAGGAAACAATAAACAATATCATAGTACCTCTCAACAATAAGCGTCAAAAGTAGTGAAAGGAGACTACGTATCCACAGAGAATGTATTAGGAAGCTCACTTTCAAGAGGTTAGTAAACAGTTCTTGAAATCTTTAATACAATGCATACACCTTAGGTAAGATTTTTTTTTTGCTTTGTTTACGTTTTGGCTAGAGCTGGGAACAGTCGGAATTGCTGTCAATTTTTATTGCTATCTCTGTTCCTGCTGGTGATATTTTCTATTCCTGTGACATCAGGATCAAGAAATGAGGGGACCTGAAGATCCAGATAGCAATAAAGAATTGACATAGACTGTGAGAAAGCTACTCAGTAGTTTTAGAACCTATTTTTACTTTCGAGAAATGTCCTGTCTCCTAGCTCTCTCGGCAACATCTGTCACTATGAGAGGGACTAAAGGAATCATTTAAAAATATCGAAAAAAAATTTGGACTTGGACTTTGAAGTATGACCTGCATGCAAAGCAAAGTATGTTTTATTCTCATCCATTGGGGGACACCGGAAGTCTTTCATCTTTAGATTATACTGCCGCCTACAGGAGGATTGGACACTGCAAACCAAAAAAAAAAATGTAGGCTACCCCATAATGCCCTTCCTACTACTAGCCTCAGTTTTTTGGGATGGTC